GAAGGCAACATTAGAAAAGCATGAAATTGAGCCACTGACTGGCAGAAAATATTCATGATACATAAAGCTGGTGGAGGATTCATATATGCAATATGTGAACTAAAAATTTCTATTAATCATTATTAGAAGACAACCAGTCCAATAAAAATTGGCACACAACTTCATAAAAAGATACATAAATGACTCATAAGCACATAAATGACCCATAAAAAGTTGCTCAATGTCATTAGTCAAAGGGAAAATGCAAATTAAAACTACAATGAGATGCTGCTTCATATACCCTAGGGTGGCAAAATGTTAGGTAAGTTTTCTATCAAGAGAATATTTTGTTTTCTGAATTATTTACTTGAAGAAACCAAAGTCCAAACAGGATAAGTGAACTTTTACAAAGCCACAGGCCAGTTAATGTAGACTTTGAGGGCTCAGATTGGCAATCAAACAGATTTTTCCCACAACAAATACTTTAGAGACTGGTGTTCCCATTTGTCTCTACAGAACTTCTGGCAGGAAGCTCTGGGGATTGTGCCAGAAACTGCATGCAGATAGCTTGTCTTTCCTTAGGTTCTAATCAGTCTGACTGACTTGGGATCCAGGATGACCTACTCTCACCTCTCCTTCTTTGTAACAGATGAGGGCTTCATGTCCCAGGAGTCCCTTCTGCTTTAAACACGGAGGAAAATGCTGTCTTTTCCTCTGGCTCTCAAATACAGCTTCTCCACTCTTGATAAGTGAGAACAAGGAGCAGAAGAGTCAAACCTCTACCTTAACATGAAAGAATGAGGACCTCTTCTTGTCCCAACTCAGGATTGATCGTAAGTCTCTGGTCATACTTCTCATGTTTTGGTCAGTCAGGTCAAGCAGAACCTTGGTCCATTGGAAATAGTTTCAGGAACACCGTTTTTGATATTAGCTGTAGTGTTGATCTTGGACAGATTTCAGCAGCCCTTTAAGATTCTGTTTTCTCATTCATAAAATAAGGGAATTTTATTAGATGACTTAATGTTTTTTAATCCCTAGAGGGTAGAGTGGCTGGATAGGTAGGTTTGATTCAGAGGACTATTTGGGATCTTAATCCCTAGTTCCTGAAGCCAGTTTCCTGAAATTTTCATACACCCCTGAGAGATACTTGACAGTTACATGGAGTGTGTCAGGTCAGGTTTGCTACATTTTCAAATGTGGAAAAACAAGAGTTTTGGGGGAACATTTATCAAAGTGAACAGCCACAAAGGAGAAGATTCAGACCCACAAGCAGAGGTGTTCACAATATATTTGAACCCCAAGCATTAATTTTCCCAGCATTCTTTTTTAATTAAAACAAAATTGTATTTCGTTCAAATGTAAAATACTAACAAATAATTCAGTCAGTACTTGTATACAGCAGTTGATTAGACTTACTCATTCAGCATCCAGCTACACTTGTTTCTCATTTTCAGAATTTTGAATATCTTCTATGTACTGGAACCTAAGATCTTCATTAAGGGTTATCTGGTTTTGTTTTGTTTTTTAACTATCTCTACACGTAAAAGGCAATGCTGGTAACTAAATAATTACACCATACAGTATTTTTTTTTTTTCAATTTTTGGCCAGGGCTGGAATTGAACCCACCACCTCTGGCATATGGGGCCAGCACCCTACTCCTTTGAGCTACAAGTGCCACCCCAACACCATACAGTTTTATCATAGCTTAAAAATTATTTTACTGCCTGTCTATCTACTATTTTATTCAATAGATGATTATCAAGAACATAATAAAAAACAATATGAATAAAAATGAATTCCTGGCAATAAAGTACACATAATCTACTGGGTATAGTCCCTAGTTCCAAGGCCCTATGTCAACTGTTCTACCATAGCAGAGAGCCAGATACAGGGACAAAGGAGCACTGACCTTAAAATAATGAACTCTGACAAGAGAATGTAACATCTTCCCTGAAATTGACACCTAGCCTCTTGCCTTGTGAAGAGGACGAAAGAAGCATCTGAGAAGGTGGAACAGCAGTAGCAAATCATGGAGTCAGGAAGATGAGTTGTTTGGGGACCATGAGTGGCCTCATGAGTAGAATGTGGGGCAACCTGGCACAAGGGGGAAGTGTCATGGGTACGTGGATGGAGACAGAATCATCAAGGGCTGATTATGTCATGATAAGAAATAGCTTGGACAACCTCCTGATGGCAGTGAGGAGCATCTCAACAGATGGATCATAGACTCAGTTATCCCAGAGAGGGGAACTGAGGTTCCAAGAACTGAATTTTTCAAACCCATATTCTTAAGCTCAATGCAGAAAGTGAATTTTTTCTTAAAGCAAACTAAAGATGTTTTTTCTCTTTACTTTGTCAAATCTAAATATTCTCCTCAGAAGATAATAAATGAGTTCAATGCTGTGTTTTTAAAGCTTATTGATATGGTGGAGATCGATTTGTGAAGGGCAATTTAAGAAATGCTCCCAAGTGGTTGTGAAATGCATTTACAGCTTAGACCCATCAGCCAGGGTGTTAGAGTATCAGTCATAATAACAAAATAGAAATCAAAGGACATATTTTTTCTCAAAAGTCAATTGTACTCCCATTTTTCTTAGTTCACTTGCCCAAATTATCGGAAGAATTAGGAGAATATTAATTCATTTTTATACATTTTTCACTTGGAATCAGTGCAAGTGGGCTACATGTTTTAGATTACATAAAAAGATTCCTAAAAGTATATATTCTTTGAGCAAGAATAATCACAAACTGCAGCAAATGAGTTTGCTTATTTCTAATTCTTATTATAAAAGTGATAAAATTGAATGAATGTAACAAAATATATTACTGTACATCCTGCCATTTGCTTTGCTTCTGAATTTGGACTTGGTTGCAATTAGGGGGAGAGGAGATAGAGATACCAGGCAGAAAGGAAGGTGCCTTGGGCTTTCAAGATAGCGCCACCTCAGATTAGACATCATGGTTCTAACCATTAGCTTTGCAAATATAGACTGGACCTTGTCCAGACACTGGATCAGACCAAAGCAGACTGACTCACATCAGTCACAAAAGGTTGAGGCAAAAATATTCACATCCTCATCTGCTCTATGAAAACTGCAAATGCCAAATGGAACGGACATTGAAATTCCCTGATGGTGCATTCTCTCTTTGTGTAAAATATACATGAGGCTGATGAATTTGAGTCAGAAAACGATTTTAAATTGTGAGAATTAAATTGTGAGAATTAAAAGGCAGCACAACAGAGTGTTAAGAACTTAGGCTTTTGACTTAGACAAAATTCACACTTCAATTTTCCACTTGTGTGGACTTCAGAAAGTTATGTCACCACTCTGATCTCAGCTTCTACATCTTTAAATAAAGAAAGTCCTGGTACAGGTGCACAGGGTCATCACTTCAGGGAACCTGGTGCCTAGCAACACCTAGTGCTTATCCAGTACCAGCTATTGTTACTCCAACTTTTTTCATAGAGTCAGAGCAAGGGTTGTGGATTGGGTGAACTTAATGCCCAGTATTATCTAGTTATGAGAGTATTATCTAGTTATGAGAGTCTACTATAGCCTCATTGTGACTGCTATGGAATTAAAAAGATATGCAAGTTCTGAATCATGATGCTCTCTTCTCTGAGCAGAGGTAGAGACAAGGTAAGGTGTGGCTTTGGGGGAACATTATGAATTTGATGCCTTCTACATAGTATTTAGAAAATATATAAATCCAATAATTAAAATAAGGCCATTTTAGAGCAAAGAAGAATTTAAGAGCTGGAATAGACTTTAAAAGTTTAAAAACTTAGGTTTTTAAATTTAAGGGGCAGAAGAAGAGGAGCCAGGCTGGGTGGAGCACCTGTGGGGAGCATCAAGGTTGTCACAGGGAAGGCACTGACAATGTAATTCCCAGGTACGGGGGATACTGGAGCAGTATTTTATGCATGTTTTACATCTTTTCTTAGGGAAATCTGGGAACATTACTCCAAAGTAGATTATGATGAAAAAGTCTTTCTTTATAACATCTTTTTTTTTTTTTTTAATTTGCACAGGATCAAAGTCATTTAAGTTTGTTCTCCTATTTACTTTGCAGAGCTGCTTTTCAGAGATTATACCCTGGTCAACTCTGGATCTCCCAGAATCTCCATATTGGCTTTTTAGACCATCAGTTGGATGAATTCAGCCAGTCACATCCATCATACTTAAAAGAAATAAGTAAACATTTGAGTAATACAGACATTGACACCTACTACCCTTCAACTCACACTCATTCCCCAGAAGTAAAAACCTTTGATGTGTGTTCTTACATAGAAACATTTCTATGTTTTATTTTTCTCAAAATGGCATTATAACTATACACACTGTTTTGGTAGTTTACCTTTGATTAATGTATTACTTACTTAATTATATTATTATTAAGTGAAAAATGCTACTGTCTATTGCTAGGATATGGACCCTCCAGCACACTCTTTGACATGGTGGCTGACGTGCACCATGGGGAAAGCTGAAATAGTTGGGGGGAGCCTTAGATATCAGATCAAGAGCTGATACCAATCCATAACTTCACAAATAGTCTGATCCACACAGATATTTTTAATGTGCACAATTATAAATCAAGTTTTGCCAAAGCAGAATTGTTTTCAATTTTTTATTTATTTTATTTCATCTTTTTTGGAGACTCTACCCTCAGTAGAGTGCTGTGCTGTCACAGCTCACAGCAACCTCAAACTCTTGGGCTTAAGCGATTCTTTTGCCTCAGCCTCCCAAGTAGCTGGGACTATAGGTGCCCACCACAACACCCAACTATTTTTTGTTGCAGTTGTCATTGTTGTTTAGGTGGCCAGGGCTGGGTTTGAATCTGCCAGCCTGCTGATGTATGTGGCCAGCACCCTAACCACTGACCCACGGGACCCACCCAGAATTGTTTTTAAAGCCACAGAATTTTTTAAACAGGGGTTTGAAGTATTTTCAACACAGCCTTCTTTTACTCTTTTGCTATTTACATTCTAATAAAATTTATTTCACACAGAATTCCAGACATGTACAGAAGAAATCAGACCAGCACCTTCGAATTTCTTCTCACAGGCTTCTCTGAGCACCCGGAGCAGCAGCCTCTCCTGTTTGGGCTCTTCCTGGCCATGTACCTGGTCACTGTGGTGGGGAACCTGCTCATCATCCTGGCCATTGGCTCTGACCCACACCTCCACACCCCCATGTACCTCTTCCTGGCCAACCTATCCTTTTCTGACATTGGTTTTATCTCTACAATAATTCCCAAGATGATGGATAACATTAGCTCAGGAACCAAACTGATTTCTTACGGTGCGTGTCTGACACAGCTCTACTTTTTTGGCCTATTTGCTGATCTGGACAACTTTCTCCTGGCTGTGATGGCACTTGACCGTTATGTGGCCATCAGCCAACCTCTGCATTACACTGTGACCATGAACTCCCAACGCTGTGTCCTATTGGTGGCTGGGTCGTGGGTAATCACTACCTTCCATGCCCTGGTACATACCCTCCTAGTGACCAGGCTTTCCTTCTGTGGTCCCAGTATCATCCCCCACTTCTTCTGTGATCTGGTGCCACTCCTGAAGCTGGCCTGCTCCAGTACTTTAGTCAATGACCTGGTGCTCACCCTCCTGGCAGGAACGCTGCTGATTGTGCCCTTTGTCTGCATCCTTACATCTTACTTTTACATTGCATTGGCCATCCTAAGGATTGATTCCCCGTGGGGTAAGCAAAGAGCCTTCTCCAGCTGCACCTCCCACCTGTCTGTAGTCTCTCTGTTCTACAGCACAGCTATTGGTGTCTATTTGTGCCCTCCAGCATCTCACTCAGATGGCAAGGACAGAGTCTTCTCAGTAATGTACACAGTGGTGACCCCCATGTTGAACCCCTTTATCTATAGCCTGAGAAACAAGGATATAAAAGGGGCACTGGGAAAATTACTCAGAAAAAAAGCACACTAATACTCTCTCAGGACCTTAAGGTCCTGACTTCAAGATTCACAGATGAGAGCTGAAAATCAGTCTTCTGATAGCCCAACTTTTGTAGCCTCCCTGAACCTAAGACTTCTTTGTTTTCGTGTTTACATGTTGAGATGGTGGGTTGACATCTGAGGTCAGAGAGGAAGATAGTGATGTCAGTAACCTCCAATCATCTTCATGAAGAGTCTGTGCTCTCAGTAGTTCACTATCCACTCTCAGAATGATACTTATTTTTGTTAGATTCCTAAAAGAAGTCCACATGTGGGGGACTTGCATACATAGAAAGTGAAAACAGAAGGCTAAATTTTTGTTTAGCTCAAGTTGTAAAAGAAACATAGATTTTTCTAGCTCAAGAATATAGGATTCATTACATATGGTACAATGAAATAAAATATTTTCTAAGATATTTTCTAATTGAATAGGCAATGTTCTATAGAAGAATAAGAAGGGGGCTGGGTGTGGTGGCTCATGACTGGAATCTGGCACTCTAGGAGGCTGAGACAAGTGGTTGCTTGAGCTTAGGAGTTTGAGACCAGCCTAAGCAAAACTATGTCTTAAAAGCATAAAATAAAATGAAAAGGGAACTTTACTTAAGTCCTGGGTTTCAGTACAGCTTTCATACACATTAATGAAGTGCATGACAGCTACAGAATTACTTAAGCACTCTGAGCCTTGGTTTCTGAATTTGTAAAATAAAGTGATTGGACTATGTTAGTCTAAGGACCCCCCACACACACACACACACATACCCCAGTTATAATATTATTTAGAGTTATAGTGACAAGAAGTCTACGTGAACTCATAGGTTACAAATTGGGACCCGAAGTCTTCCACTTTCACATCATGTAACTTGAGACAATTTCCTTCTCTCTGAGTTTTAGTTTCCCTACCTGTGAAAGTGGAAGTACAACTACATCATAGGATTACTCTGAGCAATACATGATACATGAACTCACTTAGACCACAGTAAATGTTCAATAAATGCAGATAGAATCTAAGTCTTTGGAGCTACTGTTTATCCTACTACATCATAGGGCTTCCTTCTCAACCTTTAATGGTGCAACCCCCAACCACTCGTACCTCTGGAAACCCATTTCCAGTCTTCTTATCTTTATCAAGGATCTTCCAGGCAATCACTTTCTCTGGTACACATTTCAGAGGTTTCTGAATATGGAAGTGGAGAATCCTTTAAGGAACATTTTCCCAGTAGTTAACCAATTCTTCTATATGTGGATCATTATGAAAGTTTTGAGATACTCAAAAATAAAGAAATGTAAAATTTGCACAGTGGGAGACAAATGAAGCTTTACTAGCAACACCAATAAGCTGAGCAAGTTGAAACTTGCACAGGTGAATCAGAAAGTATGCTGTGTGCTTTTTGAAAGTGAGATAATGGACCATAACACAATCAGTCTCAAAACATTTGTAGTCACCTACATATTTGCCTCACATGGGTCCCAAAAGTTGATTTAATGTGGGTAGAAGAGTGTGCCAGTGTTAGGAGGAATATTTTTTTCACCAGACTTGATCTCTGCTTCCAAGTAAAGGAAACTCAATTATTCAACAACTGTTATTAATTGAGTTTGCCCTTACTATGCCCTGGTATATCTAATTGATTAATTTGGGTGTGCTCAGCCCAGATCATACCTGTTTCTTTTTGAGAATCAACCTATTTACAGGGAGCATGTTCTCCGTGCAAAACCCCAAGCGCAAAGCAGCCAACCACACACACCTGGAAGGCCCTCATTTTAATCCTGCACTGCCCACTTCTGGACTTGACTAGAAAAACATTTAGGCTCTCACCCCAAGTCAGGCCTTAGATATTATCAGTAGTAAAGAGATGGTTTGGCTTCCATCTGTCTAATTTGTCTTATTTATCAATTGATTAGTAACTCAAATGAGAAAGAGGGAGGTTATTTTCTGGACTCCCAAAAAGACTTCCAATGAACTGCAAATCACAGCCCCATCTCTTAGGAGCAGGATGGTTCTAGAATAATTTACTTAACCTCTCTGAGTCTCTGTCTTTAATAAAGAGGCAATGATATAATTTTTTAAAACTTTACCTTTTAGTGTAGTTTTAAATTACTGATTATTTTATTGTCTCCAGAGATTTTATTTTTTTGTAGAATTTTATATAGTTGGAATCTCATGTGAGCAGCTCCTTTCAATTGGCTTCTTTTCACTTAGTAATATGAACCTAAGTTTTCTCCATGTCTTTTTATGACTTGATAGCTCAAGCCAGAAAGAACCTCCTTTTATGCCCTGATCCTTTTTAGTACAAATAATATTCCATTATCTAGATGTAACACAATTTACTTATCCATTCACCTACCTAAGAATATCTTGATTGCTTCCAAGATTCCACAATTATGAATGAAGCTGCTGAATGAGTTCTGACAATTAAGTTTGCAAACTCATTCTGAAAAAGTGCTACATGCTTCACTGCTGCATAGCACTGTGGTCAACTTTGAGGTATTTCCCTAAGGAAGCTATACACTGACTCCAGTGCCTACTTAATCCTCAAAGCAATTTTGGAAAACTCTTTTTCTGGAATGGCCATCAGAGCTGTCATTGTATTACTCTTGATGTCCTGAATGGCTTCAAAATGTTTTCCTTTCAATATTCCTTTATCTTTGGGTAAAGAAAAAAAGTCATGGGGGGGGGCATAACAGGAGAGTAAGGAGGGTATTCCAACACAGTTACTTGTTTGCTGGCTAAAAAACTCCCTCACAGACAGCACTGTGTGAGTTGGTATATTGTCATGATGCAAGAACTATGAACTGTCGGCCAAGATTTTCAGCCAAGATTTTCTTATCCCTTTACCCACACTTACTTGGTCTGCTATGCCTCTCACAACCAGCTGGCAACTTTGATGCACAATTTGATGAATTTTTGCAATGTTTTCATTAGTTCTTCTCATTACTGGATGCCTGAACTCTCTTCATCAGTGATGCTTTCTCTCCCCTCAGAAAAAAGTTTAATCCATTTGTACACTGTGGTTTTCTTCATGGAATTGTACCCATAAACTTGGACCAACATGTTCCTAATTTCACTTCCACTCTTAAAAAGTTTAACAAGAAGTTTATGTTTGTTCAGTGATGTAATTCAAGTTCTGACATTCTTCTGATGACCCAAAAAAACACACAACAAAAATGAACACCATTCTGCAAGACACTACCTGCATGGTGGCAAATTTGCAAATTTAATTGTCAAACCTCGTAAACATCTGTGTGTAGTTTTTTTACGGGTAGATTTTTCAACTCCTTTGGGTAAATCCCAAGAACCATGATTAATGGCTGGATTGTATGGTAAGAGTGTTTAATTTTATAAGGAACTTCCAACTGTCTGCCAAAGTAACTATACCATGTTGCATTCATACAAGTAATGAATGAAAGTCACTCTTGCTTCATCAGCAATAGATGGTATCAGTGGATAGCATCTATATTTTGGCCATGCTAATAAGTATGCAGTGGTATCTCTTTGTTGTTTAAATTTGCATTTACCTGATGACATACAATGAGGATCTTCTTTCCATACAATTATTTGCCATCTCCTTTGGTAATGTTTTTATTAAGAATGTTACCCATTTTTAATTGGTTCTTTTCTTGTTGTTGAATTTTAAGTGTTCTTGATACAACTTTTTTATAATTAAAAAATTTTTTCATAAATTCCAATGGCAAATTTCATAGAAATAGAGAATATAGTCATAAAATTCATATGAAACCATGAAAGACCCCCAAATAGCCAAAGCAATTTTTAGCAACAAAAAAAAAACTAACAACATCACAACCTCTGATTTCACAATATACTATCAAGTGTAGTCATAAAAACACTGTCTTGCATAATACATATGCAGACCGATGGAAGAAAATAGAGATACCAGAAATAAATCCATACATTTATAGTCAATTGATCTTCAAAAAAGATGCTAAGAACACAATAGAAAAAGGACAGTCTCTTCAATAAATGATGTTGGAAGAACTAGATATCCACATGAAGAAGAATGAAATTTTACTCTTCAATTATACACAAAAATCAACTCAAAGGAATTAAAGACTTAACTATAAAATCTGAAATCACAAAACTACTAGGAGAAAACATAGAAAAAAAGTTCCATGACATTAATCTGAATAATTTTTTTTGTATACTAACCAAGAAGCACAAGCAATGACAACAACAACAAATAAACAAATGAAACTGCATAAAACTAAAAGTCTTCTGTACAAGAAAGGCAAACAACAAAATAAAGAGTTGACCTACAGAATGAGAGAAAGTATTTGGAAGCCATATATATGATAAAGGTTAATATCCCAAATAGATAAGGAACTCAACTCAAGAGTGAGAAAACAAATAAGCCAAATAAAAACTGGGCAAAGTTCTGAAATTCAGACAGCAGATAGTTTCAGAACCCCAGCATGACTCAACCTGAATAAGACATCCCCCAGGCACATCATAATTAAC